GTGAGAGTGTGTGTGTGTGTGTGAGTGAGTGAGTGAGAGTGTGTGTGTGTGAGTGAGTGAGTGTGTGTGTGTGTGTGTGAGAGTGTGTGTGTGTGTGTGTGTGTGTGTGTGTGAGAGTGTGTGTGTGTGTGTTTTCACATTTGTCTCAAACTCAATGACAGTTTGACTGTTTAAGTGTGAAAGAAAAATAATTAAACAATGACTAAAAAATGCATTATTAATAAAACCATCAATAGTTTAATCTAGGGATGGGCGATATGACCTAAATCTTATATCACAATATGAATAACTGCATTTTATGATAATTATCACAATATAGTTATTTTTGTTGGAAATAAGGTTGTTATGATGCCATCATTTTATTTTACAGTTATACACTTCTGTTCAAAAGTTAAATAATTAAGATCTGTTAATGTTTTTGAAAATTCAGCTTTGCATCACTGAAATAAATTGCATTTTTACAAAATATTACAATAGAAAACAATTGTTTTAAATCGTAATAATATTTCACAATATTATAGTTTTTATTGTATTTTTGATCAAATAAATGCAGCCATGGTGAGCAGAAAATACTTCTTTCAGAAACATCATAATTATTCCAAAACATTGATTGGTAATATTCATTCTACATAATACTAGCCTAATTAATATAAGTAAAATTATGTTCACTTAAGACATAACCAGCTGTGGTCAATAAATAAGCAGACCAATTTCTACCCGTTTTTCCAGTCCACCTGTAAAAAGTCAGGGTTATAAAAGTTCAAGTCAAGGTATCATTAACTAAAACTAAAACCATAAAAAATGTGTTACTTGAAATAAAATAAACCTTAACTGAAATTAAATAAACAAAAAAACTTAAAATTATTTTTATTTCAAATTTTATTTTATTTTATAATAAATAAAATAATAATAAATAAAATGTATAAATATATTATAACATTTATAAAATATAAAAAAATTACAAAAACACAACAAGTTTACTAAAATTAAAGCGAAAACCGGAAATATAAAAATAAACTAATTCAAAATATTTACAAAAAATTCAGTATATTAATGCTAAAATAACACTGGTTCACTTTATCACATGCTGCCATCAGATGATTAAAACACACTCAGAGGTTTGATTTGGGTAAGTGTGTGTGACGTGTGCGTGTTTAATGCAGCAGAAGCAGCGCACACGCGTGTGTCTGTGACTCGGGCTGATGTATTCACTATATCAGCTCTCACAGATCAATAACCCTGGTTTTATCACAGTGCTGATGGGATCCAATTGCTTTCGGGACAATTTGCAACAGCAATAACTGTCCATTTATCAAATCAGAGGCAGAGATTGGGCTCACTGAAGCGTCACTATTTCCTCTGCTGTCTCTCTCTATCTATCGAGGACGGGCGTCTCACTATTGATGGACACACAGAGCAAAGATCTGTGAACAACGTGCAAAATCACTCAACAAAGCCCTGCTGGACGATAAAACTCACACGGACTCACAGTCATCACTACAGACCAGAATATAAGCAGTAAGACACCTTAGCAACCACCTAGCAACACCCTGGTAACTGCATAGCAACACCCTAGCAACCACCCT